TATCGTTTAGAATTGAAGGTCAGATAAAGAGCTTCACAGACAAAAAAAAAGCTAAGGAGTTCATCACCACCAGACCAGCACTACAGGAAAAGTTGAAGGGTCTTCTTTAAGAAGAAGCTGATGAACGAAAGAATCTGAGGAACTAAATAGATCCAGAGACATTGACACATGCAACAGATGATCATACCTCAGAGGAAAGAGGAAAGGGGTGTGGAGGGTGGGAAGAGATTAACCAAAGAAGTTATATGCATATATGCATAACCCATGGACACAGTCAATAACGGGGTGAAGGCCTGAGGAGGGGGCAGGAGCGAAGTGGAGGGGGTCAAGTGTGTGGGGGGGAAATGGGACACCTGTAATACTTTCAACAATAAATTTTTTAAAAAAAAGACTTACTTCAGCATGTCTGATACCCACTAAGTCCACCCCTTGAATGTGTCACTTATGGAGGTGTTTGGGTGGTGGTACTTCAACATGGTCTGAAGCTGTTGACTGGGTCTGGGGCCTCCTGGTAGGTGCAGGCCATGGTCAGCCACCACCTGTGTTCTGCCCGGGGCACCAGGCATAAGCTACAAAGCAATCTGCAGATGGCTGCTTCTTTTGCTGGGCTTGAAGGTGCCCAGGCACAGCCAAGCTGTGAACCAAGGCTGGTTGCTGCTAGTGCCAGACCTGAGGCCACTCAGCAAGAGGTACAGGGCTTGCTGAGGCCAGATGCCATTTGTTTGAGAAATTTTAGGAAAATCTAAAGCGTGAGCCAAGACAGGCCATTCTTATGGTAATGCCACTGGAAATAGCTTGGGTGGGCCTGAAAGTTGGGTGGGGCAGAGNGCTTATTTGAGAAATTTTAGGAAAATCTAAAGCATGAGCCAAGACAGGCCATTCTTATGGTAATGCCACTGGAAATAGCTTGGGTGGGCCTGAAAGTTGGGTGGGGCAGAGTTTCTCCAGGGTGGAGCAAACACTATTATCCAGGTTGATGGCGTCTCAGACATGGTGCCCATCTGCTGGCTCTGTGTGTGTGTGGGGGGGGGGGCTCAGAAAAGGAACAATGGCCTCTGCCANAAACACTATTATCCAGGTTGATGGCGTCTCAGACATGGTGCCCATCTGCTGGCTCTGTGTGTGTGTGGGGGGGGGGGCTCAGAAAAAGAACAATGGCCTCTGCCAGCACTTCCCTCTAGGAGGAAGCTGCCCCTCCAGCTCTTGCCCCGCTGCCAAACAATTCAGTTCCTCCCCATAGGCCTCTGTTCCCTTTCTACCTGCTGCCCCAGCGCTGGAGCTCAGAGGGAGTGAGTCTGAGTTTGTCCCTGCCTGGGCCCTTTAATAGGAACTGCCTGGGACTCCAGCAGCCTCCGCCTCCCTCAGCCTCAATCCCTGCTCGTTTTTACAGCCAGAAGTTATGGGGCCTTCTCTTCCTGGCACTGGAACCCTGAGCTGGGACCCGGGTGTGGGACAGGGACCCCTTGCTCTTCAATGGAAACCTTCGCATTCGAGATATCCCTCCCAGTTTTTATACTCCACACGTGGGTGTGGGACCAGCCCTTCCACTCCTCCACCCCTCCTACCAGTCTTGATGGGGCTTCTCTTTAATTCCGTAAATGCAGGACTTCCATTCAGCTCGATTTCAGGCAGCTCTGAATAATGGTTGTTCTGTAGTTTAGTCGTGAGTTTGATGTGGTTGTGAGAGGAAGTGAGTACCACTTTTACCTACCAAATTCTCAGTAAGTTTTGACCAACCTGTCCTTGAGAGGCTGTCGAGGCTGTGAGAAGGTGTGGTTCTCTCTTACCCATGTAAGCCATAAACTCAGCTTTGTCTTAGCAACAGAATGTGTTGGTGACATTTGGGAACCATCACTTGAGAGGCTAACAAAATACCACTATATCTGTGAGTTGCTTTTGGTAAATAGGGCAAGTAGAAATCATGGAGATTGAGAGTATATGATCATTTGTGTGCTTAATAACCAGGAATGAAATCACAACCTCCCACCCTCCACAGACGGCGTCTGACCTTGGCCAAGAATTTAATCAAGAACTTACAGTATGATTTTGCAGCATNCCACAGACAGCGTCTGACCTTGGCCAAGAATTTAATCAAGAACTTACAGTATGACTTTGCAGCATCTGCTAGGCCAAGGTACAGTTTTTGGAATAAAAATAGGATTGCTTTGTTTTCCTAGAGGACCTGAGAGGTCATAATTTGAAAGCAGAGAGTAGAAACGGGGGGTGGGGAGGAACAAAACCAATACTGCTCGTGTTATAACAGGCAGCAAGGAGTGTACAGGGCAGATTCCATTGGTGGAGAAGTGGCTTATAAATTAGGGGTCAGCAGCAAAATACGTGTCTCCCTCCTCATGGGTTTACTGTACAGCTTCTGAGAATTAAAATTTGTCCTTGGGAGATAAACATGATTATGTACTTGTGTGTTTTATTTAGTCGTTAGCCTGGACAATCTAGACGGTAAGATACATTCAACTCCTACTGGAGGACAGATAGTAAAAGAACCAAATTTTAAGTGGCCCGCGGCTACTCTAAACTCTCCCTGATTCCTGGACCGCTGAAGCCTTCCCTCACTCCCATGCCAGCAGTTCCGTGGGACTTGGAGAACCACCAGCCCTGGCTCTCCAGACTCCCTTCTGTGGGATGTTACTCTCTCACACACACAAAACTGGGCATTATTAGTAGATGAAGGCATCGTGAGGGCTCCATAAGACGATAAAATTTTGTTGTATAAAAGTGTCCTTTTTTGCTCTGGACAGGTCAAGCTCAGTCTCTGGTCGATGTTTCTCTCTCACATCGATGTTCCTCCCTCTCTCTCTCCCCCATCTTCCTCTCTCTCTAAAATCAATAAAACATATCAATAAGTTAAATTAAATTAAATTGCCCTTTTTACAAATCTATAGAGACAGAAAATAAATTGGTGGTTGCCTTGGGATAAAGTAGACATTAGATTGACTGCAATTGGGCAAAGGGGTCTTCTGGGGATGGAAAAAAAGCTCTAAAATTGAATTGTAAGGATGGGTGCACAACTTTGTAAATTTATTAAACTGAATTGTGCACTTAAAACATGTGAATTATACTTCAATTGCAGTTTTTCTAAAACCACAAATTGCCCTTTCAGTTAAAAAGAATACTTACTTAAAACCCTCATGTTATCGAAGAAACCCGCATAGGAACATGCATCCTAAGTGCTTGCTGCCTGGCCTTCCATCAGAGAGGAAATTAAGAAAAAAAATTAATTCCAGAGCATTTCAGTTGACTTGCCAAGTTGATAACTGAAAATACAATAATAGACATCATTTTTAAATGAATTAATTTTTAAAACCGTACCCACTTTTGGTTTAGTAGTATTTTTCTAGGCCTTTGAAAATGAACTTATAAACATGTGCATATAAAACTGCAAGGTATATTTTGTGGCTTTTCTTTAAAACACTGAGATTAAACTTTTCCTTTTGCTCTGTGACTTGCTCTTTCACTTAGAAAAATATGTTTGGAGATCTCTCTATGCATATTGAGCTTTACTAGTATTCCACAGTATGTAGTTTATTTGACAATAGCATTCCATGTTATTCTTCCACTGATGGACATTTAAGTGTTTCAATTTTTACTAATATGTGAAACATTAATGCCATGAACATTCTTACTTATACCACCTTAGGTGCACGTGCAAAATGTTGCTGGGTTAGAAAATTACTGGATTGAACACTATAAAAATTTTTAACTGATAGCTTTTGGGTTCTGTGATTTGTTAAAGGCCTTTGCAACCCCAAGATTATAAAAAATATTTTGTTTTGATACTTTCATAGTTGACTTTGGTGTTAGCTTATTAACCCATCTTAAATTCATCATTGTGGATATGATAGGAAATCCAAATCTAGCTTAGTTTTGAAACCTCAGTGGGTAACTGTGGCGGAGATGGCTAGATGCTCACCAAAACACGGCTTCCCTTCCTGCGCACACAGCAATCTACCTTTCTTAGCCTTCTTTGCAGTGAAGTGTGACCATGCGACTAAGCTCCAGGGAGGAAATGTGGGTAGAAATTATGAACCCCTTTAGGCCTGGCTCCTAAACACTTCCCACTCCCACCCTCCTCACCCTTTCCCCTTCTGGCTGATGCAGTAGAGCACACACCCTTGCAAGCCGTGTTTTGAAAGTGGAAATATCCCAGTATGGAAGAAATCTTAATCCCTAAATTATTATTTGGAGGAGGGCCACCACCAATCAGGAACACCTATTTTGGACTGTGAGAGAGAAGCAATATTTTGTATTGTTAAACCACTGAAGTTATAGCAGGTAGTATTACCTTAACTAATACAAGAGCCAATTTTCCCAACACTATTTATTGAAAAGTTCATCCCTTCCCCGCTGAACTGAGATCCTTTTAACTTTATCAGAAATAGTTAAGTCGTTAAGAGCACAGCCACGGCACTGTTTTGTCAACTTGGGCATTGTGGTTACCTCTCTCAGTCTGTTTCCCTCTAAGGAAATGGGGTCCATGAGAATACGGTATGTAGTGAGCTCTCAATAAAAGTTAGCTGTTCTCAGTGTTGTTACAATTATTATATGCTAAATCCCATTAAGCATGGGTCTATTATATTCCATGAAATATTTGTCTGCTCCTTGTTTGTTTACCATGTCCTATTTTTTATTGGAATTCAATTTTGTTGTTGGACTTAGTACCACCTGTAGACCTGGGAACCTGGGTCTCTGGCCTGGGCCCCCAGCTTTATAGGCGCCTGCTCTGGTTGTCCTCCAGCCAAGCCCCTTCCCCGTGGCTGAAGAGTCCGTGGGTGTGGACACAGGCTGGGTGAAGAATCAGCCTCTACTGTGGTCGCAGTCTGCGTGTGTGTTTCCTCCCGTGTTGCACAGGCTGAAGGCCCACCACCACGTGTTGAAAAGACGCTGATGAAAATGCTCTACACCGCACGGTTGCAACTCTACACTTGCACTATTTGAGTCACAGGCCATGATATGTGACTCAAACTGGCAAAAGACATTTTGTAACAAGAGGACTACAATTTCATACAAATACAATGGACTGATAAAACTTGGGCCCGTGTAAACCACATAGAAAATACGTCTTGCCCAGTCTTACTCTCACGGGAGCACAGTAAAATTCTTCTTGGCTGACTGTAACTTGAGTAATTGGATACAAATCACTGTTAGCAGCCTAATAGCACTAGGGACGAACTGATAAAGCTCCTCAGCTTGTGACTGCAGNGTAACTTGAGTAATTGGATACAAATCACTGTTAGCAGTCTAATAGCACTAGGGACGAACTGATAAAGCTCCTCAGCTTGTGACTGCAGTGTTCATAGTAATGCAGGAACACACGAAGGATCCAGAATTCTCACGTGACGGTGTTTGGGAGTGGCAGTCGGGCTGGAAGGCACTGCCAGGGGACTTGCCTTGATACTATCTTTCATAGTAAAGATGTTTTTACTTACAGCATATGTTACACATCAATACAAAATGGCAAACATTTTTGCAAAATTTACACAAGATTGAGGCAGTTTCAATTATTCATACAAATGAATTTTACTATCATTACCTCCGAAATTCCTTTCGTTGACATAGGTGGCTATTCGGGGGGCTAACCCATCTTCTAAGTACTTCTCACCCCGCCCCCCAATACTGTCAGCAGTATTGGCAGATGGGGCAGTTTTACCCTTCCGCACAGCCTTGATGGCGA